CACCCCCTTTCCTGCTGAGGAGTTCACCCAGCAAGGGGCTGGCCAGAGCCATCGGAAGCAGGGCCCAAGCAGGGCCCCTGGGGGCGAGGGCTGGGTGAAGGACAAGCCTGGCCTGCGTGTGGGGCAGGGCGTGGGGCCAGCAGGAAGGGCAGCCTCAAGGAGGGCTCCGTTGGGTTGGGAGGCAGCTCTGCCCACAGAGTGCCCTGCAGGGGTCCTGAGGTCTCCCCCACTCCCTGCTGGCCCACAGAGCCGAGCTGCAGGAGTTCCCCCAAGAGCCAATTCAGGAAGAACTGGAAATGCTCCCGAGAAATGATTCCTCACCAACCAGCAAGAGTCTCTGACTGTTGTGGAGGACCACGTGGCCACTCCTTGAAAGAAGAGCAATCGGCTTCACTTGGGCTGCGCCTGGCCCCACTTTCATGTAGTGATATGTACGGTGGTGACTTGGACTTTTCCTTAACCCTTCAGTTGGCTTTAAGCAGGGCTGGTGGTAGGTAGTCTTTGAAGATGGCACGCCAGTTTCCCTGGTCACCCCCACCTGCTCTTTTATATGAGCCGGTTGACAGGGGACGAAGAGCCAAAGCTCCCTGCTGTCGGCCGGGATTGAGCGTTGAGTCAGAGGCTGTGATTTCCTGGGGCTTGAAAGCTCACACACTGGACCTGCGGCACCAGAGCCCAAAACACTAGACACTATCTCAGTTACGTAGTGCAGATTCCTCCACACATTCTCCTCTCTGAACATTGCAGAGGTAAATGCAGGCCTACCCAGCCCAGCTCACAGTGCTCCCAGCTTCCTGCCATTCTCGGTCCTTCTTCCTCAAGCCACTCCTCCTTCATGACTGAATAAACCCCGGGTTTGGCCCTGGGTCGAGGCCTTTGTTCCAGGTAGCCATCAGCATGGCTGGGTTTGGGACCCCAGGGCTCCCCGTAACTATAAATATGCCGCAGTGTCTTTATTCTCGTCATGGGTTGCACTGGAAGTGGTAGATTGCAACTAACTTGACGGCGTTCCAATAATTTATTCATGGGATTACAAGTATAAACTTCCTGGACTGAGACATGGTCCAGAAAGGGCTGCCTATAGACTGTAACAGTGCCGTGTGTTCACTGTAATAGATTCTACTACATTTTATTTATTTATTTATTTTTTGGGGAAGGGTATACAGGGTGTTCAGGGTCTCACTACTAGATCGGACCTGTTTGCAGCCTCCCAAGAGCTGGGATTACAGGTGAGCGCCACCACACCTAGTCTCAATTGCCATCTCAGCGTGCCCTGGGGGTTGGGCTGGCACTGCAGCCCCAGGGATTGAACCCTCCAGCCCCTGCACCTGCTTGCGGGCACTTTAATCCACTGAGCTATTTGGCCATCCCTTTTACTACATTAATAAGTGGAAAAAGCCGGGCATGGTGGAGCACACTTGTAATCTCAGCACTTGGGAAGCTGAAGCAGGATTGTTTCAAGTTCAAGACCAGCCTAGTCTACAAAGTGAGC